AAAAAAAAACTGATACTGTCTGAAGGAAAACGGCAGTACAAGTGACAGTAGAAGAAAGATAAAAGGAACCCCTGGAATTTTGGGCAAAAAATTAGATTTATTGATTAGCTTCTAGGACCACGATACCAGTACCACAAATGACTGATGAACTTGATGTATACACACCGCGAAATGCCTAGTCCATACGCAAGTTATAGGATCCCTGGAGTATAATCAAGCAAGCGAGGAAGCTGTCGCAAATCTGTAAGAAAATGTTATTTCCTCCTTCCTACGTTCAAACTCAGTTCCTGCCTAAGAATATTTTTATATATTGTGTCCAGATAATCAACCGGAGCTTTATTACCGATCTCACTGCATCGCTCCTATGTCTCCCTTCAGTGATTGGTAAATATTCTGCGTTTCTATGATCTGGACGATTTTCTTCGCAATCTTTAGTCTTATTTCTTTTATATAATAATACCAAAAGATGTATGCTTACAAGCAGCGATTATTAGGTGTTTAAGCGTGAGGAGTAATCCTTATCTTTCAAACGTGACAAAATTCAATGGTGAAAAGATTAAGAATTCAAGATAAAACAAAAAGTCTCTCATCTACACAATGAATGAACTACAAAAAGAGATTTAACGTTATCAAAGAAAATTGTCATTTTGCTCTCCGCATTCCGTATATAACCATAGACGATAACAGCATAAACGTTTTCTGGTATTCCTCTAGAGAGGTATAACACCGGCTTCCTCCAAATTCCGCATTTGCTTTCCTCAAGGTTAATAAGCCATGAGCAAAGCATTTATTCTCTTATCCTTGATAGCATACTGCTATGGTATGTTTTGCTAATTTCGACTTTTACACATCTGTATAGCCAACACCAGTTATATAGATTTGGTGGTTAATGCCCATTTTGACGAATTTGACTACACAGTCGTGTTAGACATAAGATTTCGTTGATTCTGCAACAGCGGGTTACTTCAATTTGCTGAAGCGAGAACAGATGAGTAGAAGGATTTACTTTAAAATACTAGTAGGAAAGGACGTAAGAAGGTGATGGTAGCATTCGTCGTCAAGCAATATCCTACATTAATGGTTTTTGTAATTGTAAACGAAAAAATATGGAGTTAACGACGAAAACATTGTGTGCAAACCTATGCTAATGCATAGAGGGTTTAGTCTACAATTTGATGCTTTCTCGCTTTTTCTCGTCATTACTAAGCTCCAGAAAGTAACCATTATATTACAAAAATGTATATGCAAGCCTGATATTTACACACAAACACCTAATAGAGCCCGAAAATGTTTCACTGATCGACATGCAGCAGTTGTTGTGTTGTGAAGTGATAAAAAGTGCAAGAGATTTTATGTCGAG